GGAAGATGTTTCTGAAACCAACATATTTTGTTATAGTAAAGGGATACTTTTGCAAATCGATTTAGTTCTTAAATGCTTAAGTTTTTACTTTTCTTTATTACATACACTTTTGCTTGCTTCATATTTTTGAAATAATATCAAAAATTGTTTGTATTGGTAGTGTGGAATTCGTGAGTAAATTCGTAACGCATGTATATGTATTCAATGGACAAGTAGCAATGCTTAGCCTATAACAATAGGTTTGAAAATATTATTGACAGCTAACAAAATTAGTAGTACACTGAAAATTACCATTATATCCTTTCTTTGATTGGATAATTGAGAGCCGACGAAATGAAAACTGAGAGAAAATCAGCGGCTGCTTCCGCTTTATCAGTGGTTTTTTATGGTAAACTGCAGTTTATCGTCAAAAATGATCAGACTCTTCTGACATAGGAAGCATTTCAACATATAGACTTTAATCCGGAAGCATAATTACTAACTACTTTATAGTTTGCTTTTTATCATGTTGCAAACAATCCTTCACTTTATGACGTTTAGATTTGTCGTTGCTGGGAATTGAGGACGAGAATGAACCAGTGACACTATACGTGGTCGTCATTAATTGAACTGGAGAAGTACGAAAAATTCGAATTTATTTTATGTTATTTTATTCTGTTTTATAATGGCCATCTATCGAATCACGACTATTTATTCAAATATGATTCGATGGGACAATCATCCAATGTTAAATAATTTATACATAGTAAACCAATCCAATTACCCATTTTAAATCCCAAGAGCGAGAGAGAACAAATATTTTTCAATAAAAGTTCAAACATATCAATTCAAGTTGATTTGAAACAATCTTTATAAATGGCAAAATCAACAGATAATAATCACGAAATATCTACACTTACTAGTGAAAATAATCAAAGTACAATCGACGAAGATGAAGAAGCAAAACATTTTCGAAAAGTAATTGGTGCATTTCTATACTACAAGTAAAATTTTATATTTTTTGCTCGTAAAATGTAATTCTTCATTTGTTTAGAACATTGGCTCGAAATCGCATTCGTCGTGCATTCTATTCATATAGTCGATTACCCGAAGCACATAAACGACTTGTACCTAAATATGAAGCTTATCTTAGTCAATTACTCAAGTGTATCGATCAAAAGTAAATAATGATAATTCTTATATTCGTATAATATTTAAATGATCTTTTCTTTATTTTTCTATTTAGTGATTTAGTCATTCGAGAAATACTCAGTGGCTGCGAACATTTATTTAATAATTATTCAATGCCTTCGAGTTATAATGACAAAAATTATATGGTAAGTTGAACAGATTTCAAAAGAAAAAAATCTGTTTAAATCTTCATCTATCTGTACGCTTAGTCTTCTTCCAGTCAACTGAACAAGATTCACTGCCGCCTCCATCTGGTGTAACTTCAATGGATATGGATAAAGTGAAAACAACACTAAAACAATTTGTTCGTGATTGGAGTAAAGATGGTGAATATGAACGACTGGTTTGCTATGCACCAATTATCGATGAAGTTAAACGACGTTTTCCAGTTATTCCTACGGCAAATGAAGATGGTTCAATGTAAGTTGCAGACAAAAATGAGACATTTGTAAAAATATATTTCATGTTTTATTTTCATCTTTATAGAAATCATTTTTCGTCTGTTCAAATTCTTGTTCCTGGTGCTGGTCTTGGTCGTCTTAGTTGGGAATTTGCTCGACTTGGATATGCATGTCAAGGCAATGAAGTTAGTTTATATATGCTGATTGCATCACATTTTGTACTGAACAAGTAAAAGAATAGTTTTTTCTTCCTAATTTTATATACATTTACTTTGATGCTCTTGAATAGATGTTCACAAATCAATACTCATACAATTCATCCATGGATACTAAATTTTTGTAATAATGTTACAAATGAAGATCAATTACGTGCTGTTCAATTTCCTGATGTTAACACAGCTACATTACCAGCTAATTCTCGATTTAGTATGTCAGCAGGCGACTTTCTTCAAGTATATAATGAACCAAGTTCGTTGATTTTCATTCAAATATAAAAATTGTCTAATATGTATTTTCTTTCAAGATGATTGGGATTGTATAACTACTTGTTTTTTTATTGATACTGCTCATAATGTTATTGAATATGTTGAACGATTGTGGAAGATTCTTAAACCAGGTGGTGTATGGATTAATTTTGGTCTGTATCGATTTTTTTAGTATATTTCTTCTGAGAATAATTATTTTTTTTTTGTCTTTTTAAGGTCCATTACTTTATCATTTTGAAGATATTCCAAATGAAATGTCTTTTGAATTAAGTTATGCCGATTTAAGAACAGTCATTCTTAGCTATGGCTTTCAAATAGAGGTATCAGTTTGTGCTATTCGCAATTTTTTTTTGCAAAAAAAAACTTTTATTGTATTTGTCATTGTTTGTTTTAGGTAGAAACATTACCTATTCGAACAAGCTACATAAAAAATGAACGATCCATGCTTCATTATGAATACGATTGTGTCTTTTTTGTTGCAGTAAAACCTTCAGACAGAAATGAAATGTAATATTTTGTATTGTCGTATAAAATTTGCGATTGAATAAATAAGAAAAGAATTACTAGTTAATGAACATAGGAGTTTTTTTCTAGAAACAAATGTTACGAACTTGTAACTGATTATATCAAAGTTGAAAATGTTAAAAAAACCATTTTTATTTTATTCAATAAAAAAGTATCTGTGAAAAAACTGACGATGTATAGAATGCCTTCTATCTTACAATGGAAAACAATAAATAAGTTTATCTTATTACCGAATTGAATCTTAATGAAACATCTTGTTGATATTCTTTGGTTTCATATCAATACGTGCAAGTCTTTCTTTTAAAATGCTTAATCTTGATCATTCATAAATTTGTTTTTATAAATAGAAAATAAGGATAAAGTGATCACAAGTAGCGTCAGTTATTATGAAGTAAAATTATTGTCATTGATTCTGAATGCTTTAAATTAAGTGAACCCATCAACTCATTGAGTAGGACTAGAAATGATCATTGTTGACAATAGTCGATTATAGATTTCTCATAATCAATGATATTTTATGACAAAAAAAAAACAATTGGAAATTAATTTATCTTATCTATTGACCATGTATTATCATATGTTTAGTCACTTTTACTACATAGGTAGCATAATCCACAACACAAAAAATACTGTTTACTCTAGCGAATAATAATGGTAAAAAGCTACAAATAATGTTTTGGATATGATTTAAAATATTTCATTGGAAAGCCGATTTGTAAGATAAAAGTATTTAAATTTACTTTATAGTTCTGTTTTGAAAATGAGCATACCATTAAGAATCTTGTTTTCCTATTTCTTCATGTATGAAATACAAAGTAATATTAACTGGAAACAGTATATGGACAAAGTTTCATCATGTAACTTGTAGTTGGACTATGTTGTGTCGGAAATAATTGGAAACAGACGTCTTCAAAAGTTTGGCGTACCATTGCTTTAGTAATTTTAACAACCAAATGTTCATTGAAATGTCTAGTTTTTCATATATAATCTTCTCGATTATGATTCATTAGTAGTGACATAACTAGAAAAAATTCCAGGATGGATTCAATTCCTTTTAAGCTCTTTTTTTTACAAGAAACATACATCAGTACTAGCGGCATTGTCAATTATTCTAGGACTTGAATATTTCTAGAGGAGCTAAGTCTCTTCTACTTATATTACCAGACTTCACTAAGTTTTTTCGCAACGTACTTGGACTGATTTATTTACTTCAGTATCGACATCAGTTTTCGGTAAAAGTAGAGTAATAATGACACAGAATAAAACCTAATATTTACATGAAATGTTTGAGAATTGAATTCATTTTTGATTAATCTAAAATAATCTTATCCAAGTGACAGAAATCTAGATGCTTAATTGCAGTCCTGTATAATAGTGATGCCTTATTGTGTAGTAAATAGTAAACAATGTTTCTAATCAGTCTTTTCATGTTATGGTGATGGAATTAAAAAATAGAATATTTTTCATTTCGTTCACAACTGTTGTCATGAGATGAATATCTAACGAGACAAATGACAAAGGTGATCAGTTTTGTTTTGAATCCTTCACACCGCATTATATAGAGTATATTGAGATAAGAAGAAACCTAAAAGATTTCAGGGCCACGACCAATTGGCCAAGAGTAATGATCGTTTTATTGAATTTTCATTCTATCCGTAAATATTTACTAAAAGCTTAAATTATGAAATATCGATTGGAAATATTATTCAAAGAAATATCTAATTATCTTTGACATATTCCGTAAGTTTCAGTCAAAATAAGATGTTCACTTTTCAAGTGAACTGTATTTTTGTGATACGTCTATGGCAAGTAATCAGTTTTTGAAAATTTAATATTTTTTCTACAGGTATATTTATTTTGGCTAAAATGTTCAGGATAGGACAAAGATCATTGGATCTCACTTTTAGTAACATATCAAGTCAATATTTCATAATGTAATTTATTAGTAAATATTTACAAGCAGCATGAAAATTCAGTAAAGCGGTCATAACTTTTAACTAGTAGCTAATAAGTCTGAAACCTTTTAGTTTTATTCTTATCTCAGTGTACTCTACCGAATGAAATCTGAAAGAGTTAAAACGAAACTGCACACCTTTGGTACTTTCCTCATTAATGAATCATTGTGAACCATTATATTGTAATGAAATATCTCATTGAATGAAATTCTCTGATTAATTTATTTTTGTCATCCAAACAAAGTTTATGACAAAACAAAAACGCATTAGATATCACGCTGAAATAGCTTTTATATATGAAAGATTTAAAAGAAAAAAGTGCTGATTTAGTAACGCCATCTTTAAGATGCATCATCTTGGAGGAAAACAAGAAGCTGCACCAAGTCATCAAACACCGTGATGGCAGACATTCAATATTTTTAAATTCATTCCTCATAAAAGAATTTTCTTTTGCACTTATAACCATGGTGGAACAACTTAAATTTATTGTTGAACAATTAAAACGACCACCCTTCAATCGAAATCATTATAATATTCTTACTTTTGATAATTTAACAAATAATCAATTATTACAAGTTTTAACAGATGTTTTTGCTGTTGTGGATCCGTATGATCCATTTGTAAGAACATTTCTTTGTTGTAAGATATTTGAGATTTATTTTTCGTTAAATATTTAGCATAAAATTGATATTCGGGATGAAGAGCCGGAAAAAACAGCTGCTCGACATATGAATACATTAAAAATGCTTGGTTATCGGCCGAAACTTGATACAGATGTGTATGTTCTAATGATAAATACGATTTAACTCTCTTTTAAACGTGTTTCTTCTTCTGTTTTTTTTCATAGCAATACATTTCGACAAAACTTAGTTAGTGGTGCTAAAAGTGTCGTTTTTCCTATATTACAATGGCTTCTTGAAAAGTTGCCTGAACATAAAGAACGTGCATATTTAGGCAGATATCTATCAAAAATAGATGTACCTCCTGAATTTTCAAGCGATCCAGAAATTGCTGAACAACATGAACGAGTAAAAGAAAACTTTAAAACTTATTCATTTTTTGACTTCATTAATGTGTTTCTTTATGGTTTTATTTTAGTGTGATGATTTAATGGAAGAATTTAAAGAAGTTCATCGAGGATATAAAGAATTAACATCAACACCACATACAATTGATGATCTTCGACGTGATATAAAACAACTTGAAGATGAAAAAGAAACATTAGAAAAACGACTTGAACGACAAAAAACTCGTATACAAAAAGTACCAGCTGCTCAAATAGAATTAGCAAAAAATTATCGTAAAGAAGTTGAAAAAGAAGAAAAATTAAATACAATGAAACAAGATTTAAACACTGTTATAAATCAACTTGAACAAAAAATACAACGTCTTGAAAGACAATTAACTGATCAACGTTCATCATCTACTGATCAATCACCTGAAGGTAAATATTTTAAGTATTTTCAATATTTTGTTTATTTCTTATTTCCTATTTAAAAGCAATTATGAAACGAATGGAAGAAGAAAATCAAGTTAATAGTTATTTAGTTACGGAAAAATTTCCAAAAGAACTTAATCAAATGAAAATGAAACTTCGATATTATGAAGAAGTAGCAACTAATAAAGCTTTAGGTCAAACTGAATTATCTAATTATCGAGCAAAAGTAAAATTAAATCATTTTTAATATTTTATTATTTATTGAACATATTTTTAAGATAAGTGAATTAAATTCAATAATCAATAAATTTCATGAAAAACGTGTTTTGGCTAAAGATCCTACAGCTGATAATTTAGCTGTTTTTCGTCAACAAGCACTTATTGTTGCTCGACGAAAAGAACAAGCTGCCGAACGTCTGACACAATTACGTGCAGAGAATGATGCACTTGAAAAACAATTTGGTCGAAATCTACCAATGGGACAAGTTGGCTCATCTTCAATTGCTAAAAATAGTAGCCACGTGCCAGAAGGAGAAGAAGTATCATTTTATATATTTATTTTTTTTTTGTCACAGCAAACTTATCACAATTAGAAAGCAAAGAAGCGATTCATTAGTTATTCAGTATAAGATATCTATCAAATAGTACTCTAAATGATTGTTAATAGTGTATTTTCTAATCGAAATATTTATACATTGAATCTACATGTATTTTAAACATGTTTTCGAGAATTCATTAAACTATGCGAGACATATTTGTGTTGTTCATGAAAAATTTTCAGGATTATTTTAAAAAAAATTCATAGTTACAAATAATCGTTCTGCTGATGAGAGAAGTTCTCCAACTGTCCAATCGCTTTCGAGTGGTGACTATGTGCATTAATTCGATCCAAATGACCTATGAATACCGTGAAAAGAGTTCATGTCCTTGACTTATTGTGACGGAAATACTGCACTTTTCTAGTATTTCTTTTGATAAATACCGCAGCCTCTTCTGAGAAATACTAGACAACTCATTTTCGAATTTCAACTTGAAACTTTGCATAGAGACTAGCCTTAATCAGGGTATTTTATTGTCAGAGTTTCAGGTCTCTTGATTAGGATCTATCTTGAAGTAAATACATCAAATATGCTAGTTTGTATGAATGATGCAAAATATACCCTATTACCATAGCTGTGTCTGAGAAAAGGTATAATGACAAGATCTGAAACAATCTCCAAAAAAAAAAACAACTCTTATTAAAGTTTGTTTCTATAGGAATTTTCAAGCCGAAATTCGAAAATGAGTTTTTCGAATGTTTCGTGAGCAGAACCACAGTATTTTCATTTGAGTCTACATAATGTACCATAGTCTCGACTGAAAAGCGATTGAAAAATTGGAGAATTTTCTTCATGAGAAGAATCACATTTCAAAGAAAAGAGAATGGAAAAGACACATAAAATTCAACGAACCTATGTCGATTTTATTAATGAATAAAAAACAAAGTCATCTACTATTTGCTATTTAGTTTCAACGTTATGTTAATATGTTGCGAAGTAAAAGTAATACATATAAACGAAAACGTCAAGAAATTAATGACATGACAGCTGAATTACAATTACTTAAACGAACAGAAGAACTTCTTAAAGAAGAAGTTGAACAAATCAAAGGTCGAATGGTAATAAAACATTTAATTTCATAGCTTGTTTTTTTTTGGTCTATTTAAAAAAATTTAATTTAGAGTATGGAAGAACGTAAACATGGTATTGAAGGTTATTTTTCTACTCAAGAACGTCTTGAAGAATTATCTACACTAAAAATGGAACAAGATGAATTAAAAGGAAAAACTTTAGATGAAATAACAGCTTTAATTAAAACATTAAATAATCGTATTTCATCAAAAAAAGCTGAACTTGATCCAATTCTTAAAGAAGTTAAACCATTAAGAGCTAAAGTTCAAGTAAAATCGTTTTTTGTTTTCTTTAAATTATTATTTTATTTTTAAATTGATTTATTTTTATTTTTCAAAGGAATTACGAAGTGAATATGAAGCAAAAAAAAGTAAATATGATTCACTTAATGCTAATTTTGAAAGTAGTCGATCAACACTTGAATCGGTTAGTTTGTATAAAGAATATCTTCTTTTATCTTTGAACTGTTTGAAATACCTTTTTTTTTTCTTTTCATATAGGAAGTTCGTGGATTTTATGAAGAACAATATGCACAAGAATCTCGTTTTCATACACTTAAAGCACAAATGTTAATTAATGCTGTACAATTAAAACGAGCAAATGATGAAACAAGTTCATATATGTCAACAGACAAAGCAACAAAATCATATAGGTTTAATAATGAGTTACATATGGAATTCATTCTTTATTGGTATTTTTCTATTGTAGAGAACAACTTAATAAACAAATAAATACTGCTGAAGCTCGTATTAAAACTAACCGTGAGAAACAAAAAGTAACAAAAGATGTTCAAATTGATGGAACAAGACAATTAAAATATTGGCGAGATCTTTTGCGTATGATGGAACTTAAACGAAAATTAGCTACGGTAGTTATACGTTTTTTTGAATTATCAATAGAAATATTCTTTTTTTTTTTCGTTTTTTTTTTTAGGGTGAACTTTAATTCAATAATATTTGCTTTGTTAAATGATATCTTTCACAGTTTTTCCTATGTGTCTAAATAATATGTAAACTATTTGATTTGTCTTTAGCTAAATATAAAGACAAAGAAAGAAAAGAAATTATTTCTATGGTCATTTTGCTCTTTCCATCGCCACTAGCATATGCGCGTATGCAGTTGCTTGCAAGACTGGTAACACTCGCAAACATTTGTATGAAGAATAAATGATGATGATAGATAGAAAGGAAAAAGGAAGAAGAAAAATGGCACAATACATGCGATATAAGAAATATCCTCATCTCAGTAGCTATATACGTCTATAGAGCTAGTTTATCTTATGTTCGGTCGCGTGCAAAAACATTCCCTATTACTGTTCGTCCGCCTCCATACATATTATGGCTGTCAGTAAAACAATGTTCTAACCTCTCTTGCTTCTGCCGTTACTGCTATAACTACACTTGAAGATATGATAATAATGTTATGGAAACGAAAGAAGTTTTCTCATATGTATATCCAGTATATAAAGAATATGTAACGGTATTATGTCTAATGAGATCATTGTCTTGATTCAATATTGTATCGTAACAAAGTAGAAACAAGAATAAACGATATCGATATACAATGGCTGATAATAATAATATCACACGTAAAAAATTACAACTATTATTTGACGATGATACCCGTAAGTTACACTTATTTTATTTTTATTTTCTTACGAATAGCTATATAAAAAAATAAAAGAAACAATAAACATATGGTGTGCAAAAAATTTGGTTTTTTTTGGTTTTTTTCGTTGATATAAAATTTATCGGCAAACAAATTTTTGAGTATTATCTCCACACCAATTTCGATCATCACAATTAAATATATTCGATATACAAAAAAGATTTTTACACCGATAAAGATCATCAATTCGCGAACACGTAGCAACAGCTATAGAAAAAGAAAATTTTACAAAAGTTTGTTTTCATATTCATTAGGATATACTAGTTACTTACGAAAATTGATCGCAACATTAAGAATAAAACCATTCCCAACTTTTCCATCATTATTAGCAATAAATTCAATTATTACAGTATTTGTAGTTGGTGTCTAAAAATTGTTTATAAAACAAAAACTTCACTAATTTGAAAAAAACAACAAAAAAATCAATTTACTCGAAGATAATATTTATGCGTTCCACATTGAAATTTATCATCTAAATTTAATAATGATCCTGGATTTCTTTGCCCATCATAAATCAATAATTTATCACCGCCACATGCTATATCCATATTATCAACGACAATAATAATTCGTTGACTTACTGTTGACCCTTTGATTGTTAATATACAATTCAAATTTTCTTTATATTTACCGGATGTTAAACTAAAATATATGCCCGGCAATGTATCACCATTGAGTGTAATTGTTTTATCGCATTGTTTGTCCATATCTGTAAATTTAAAATAATTATTTTGAGTATTATTCAATTGTTTTTTTGCTTTTCTACTTACGCGGAGCACTATATATAGAACTTGTAGCACGCATCACTACTATTGATGGCATTAGGATAAGAAACAAGGTCAATAATGGCTTGATTATAAACATACTGTTAACTGTTTATAACTTTCTTTGATCCTTGTACCTTTTATATAGCACTCAATAAAAAAAAAAAGAATATTCACCTTGAGTGTATATATATATGCCGAACAGTAATTTTCCTGTAATCGTTTGTTACGTAGAGAGAGAATACTTAATAATGTTGAAATGATATTTTTCTGTATGCTTCTGTTCTTTCCTGTTGAGAAATACGAAAAAAAGAAACTCATTCTTATAGAATTTATTAAACGTTTCGCAATTATAATAAGATGATTAATACCATAAATACAAAAAAAAAAAAGGTTTTCTAAAAAAAATATTTGATGACAAATATGGATAATTGTATGAAGACATAAAAAGTAGTTTATAAAATTAATAATCATGATAGAAGGCCTTTTTTGTATGTACATTATATATACATACCAGTATATCGAATTGAATGACAGAGTTGTTTATTGAAGAATTATAAATAAGTGTCAAAAAGTTTAATGAAGGTCGAATAATCTTTGCTAATAGCAATGATATTAAATTTATTAAATCAATTCATACTGTTCGAGTATAATTGACATCGTTGTTACAAGTAAATTTGACTAGTGACAAGTATCAATATAATTATGATAACATCACCGTCTCGAGCCATAAACGTGGTTTGTTATTAATACTGATGACAATTCGAATGAATTCTTTTAGTATTTATTTTCGTACTTGGCGCGCAGTATTAAATCGACAATCAACTAAGCTTCTGTCTCAGTATTGTTTTTCTTGTAATTAAACTGCTGAAAAATGATCGTAACTTTCTTTCATCAAATCTAACGGTTGCGTCATTTGATAGGAATGAAAGCTTTACTATCTTATATCCGATGATTTGTTGTGTTAATGTTTCTTTTGAACAGTTTCAAATTCTCATTAGTACAGATAGTATTTGCCAAACGATTATTCATGTTAAGGGAAACAAATAAGTAAAAATGAATGAAGATAAACACGAAATATTAGCGGCTATGATAAATTTTAACTATTAAAAGACAGTGAAAAATTTTATTTAAACGTATATTATTATAAGCATGCTGGATTCACGAGATATTTGTAGTTTTTTTGCTATTGTTACGATATGAGTCATATGGCTAAATTGTGCCTGTATGGATCACACTTCAGTTTTTAATTTATGACAATTAAATTAACGAGGTGATTTCCCATGCTTTTCCTTTAACAATTACCCTTTACAAATCTATGGGGATAGTGCAATCTGAGTCATATGAAAAATACGACCATGCCTAAAAAGTGAACGTTTTAAACAGGAGCAGATGCAGAAAATCAGTGAGGGGATGGTGATTTATCGAAGAGGGCGGCGGTTATGGTCAAAAAACGGTTTTTGAACTATTTTTGAGATAGTACAACTCATTTTTTTTCTCATTTCTGCTGAAGAAAAAGGGAAAAATATTTCGCAAACGGATGATGATTGCTGGATCGTCGAATAAATAGATCCGCTACTGGTTTCAAAATCGCATTGATCGGTTGTCCTGACTAATTTTATTAGAAGTGTATAAATCAATTGTTCCATTTGAGATAAGCAGGTAGAAAAGTCGACCACGAGACACTAAATAGAACTTGCACATTCTCATTTGTGTGTACATTATCTTTTTTTACTCTTAGTTTTTTTTTGTAAAGATAAAACGTTTTCGAACCAATAATGAAAGATATATTAGATGTATTGAAAATGTTTCTTTCAGTCTAGACTATGGAATTGTAATGAGATAGACGTAGAAGCATTCTCGGTTTATCAATGTTATCATATGTTGTACTAATGCTGTATGTTGACATGTTTATGACTGTAGGCAAACAACTGATATTGAAAGAGTCCTTTAAAACAGATTAACAGAATATTAACTATCTGTGTTTTGAAATGAAGCAGTTGACCTTTCAGGATACGAATAGACTAGATTTGAAAATGTGTGTTTAGTATGTTTTTAAAATCCGTATGATCAATTTTTGCCGATCTAGGAAATGATGCATAGTTTTTGAAAAGTAATCTTAGATTGAAGAAACTCAAATAAGACTTTAAAATGTTGATGTTGCTTCTGAACTAAAAAAAAAATCTTTTATTTCATTGCTCTTTTATACAAAACACATTAATTATGGTTTCGAGCATCGAACAGAAAAAGACATGTTTGCAGCTGTTGTGGATAGCCTTGCCTCATGCGTATACATCTCATAGGTATTATTTTTCTGTTTATTATCTAAGACAACAAAGATAGTGCATAGAGCGTTTGCTCAACGTAGATTCGAAAGAAAAATATTAAGTTTAAAATCAAACACCGTTTTGTAAAAGAAAAATTAATTAAAATCTTTTTCTCAGAAAAAAAAAAGATCTAGTATTTCATTCGAAATATGATGCGAAATTCATTGGAAATAAGTCTACAGATAAGATTTCATCGTCGGATGATAGTAGCCTAATGTAAATTGATTGAATAAAACAGAAAACGTTTGTCTTTTTTTTTTGTATTGATACTCATGTAAACTATATTGAAGAGGACATGACATTTGCTTTAGAAAATGTCTTGTCAAACCTACCACAAAAATGTTGCTTGGTTAAATTGATTTACTAATGAATTTTTCTTAGGAAAATATTAAAGTAGAAGAAATATAACAGTCAATTTTAATACTCAATAAAAAAAAAAAATCTTTTATTTTCTACGAATATTTTTGGAAAATTTAGGATTGCCGTTTTTATTTTTTAAATTAATTTCAATAGAAAAATTTTCTAATTGTGAATGTTTATCATTGAACATCATTGAAGATAATATATTACATAGCAGTAAAGGTTAAACTAGTACTCACTTGAACATAAAGTCTTGATAATAAAGTCTCAGTCAGGCTACTATGATAATACACAAATCATTAATCTCAACGATTTATTTACGGAACGTATCATAATAAGATCGTAGTAGGGTTCTTGTTCGTTTGGAGAAAAGAAAAGTCGATATCAGTGTAGATAGGAAAGAGTTGACTTTCCATTTCTATCATCTCTCGTGAAGGGTAGTAAGCCACCATTGCTCACGCATATATCGTTCCTCTTCTCGCTTCTTTTTTTTTGTCTTATCAGGAGACAAATGCAATTTTCTTCTTTATATCTTTACTAACGACAGCAGAAATTATGAGACTGGATGAATGAATATGTGCAGCATACACTAGTACCATCATCACCAGCCCCCGTATATACATAGAAAATGAGGAAGAAAACATTTGAAGCCACATGGGTCGTTGTCTTCATATAGTTGCATAGAAAACGCGACACACAGACTCGTTCTCTATCGTTATTTATTACTGCCAGCTAGTATTATTATTATTATTATTATTATTATTATTATTCATATTCAAATATTTTTATTATTTATTTATGAATATTATTCAATATAAAATTCTACGTGAAAAAAAGAGAATTTTCTTTAATATAATTAAATAAAAGTTCTCTTTTCTTTCTCATAATTCAATTAATTTTAAATATGAATTTCGCCGATTTTCTAGCGGCACCTGAAATTGTACGCCGTCTTACTTCTCAAGATGCATTTGAGAACGAGACTGTTACATTTACATGCACGGTACAAAATGTAAATAGCACCAATGATGATGAATCATATTCAATAACATGGTTTTTCGGTGATCAACAAATTAAATTAAATAATGAAAAATATTCCGTTGATGAAAATCCTAAAACAGGAATATGCTTATTAACTATAAGACACATCACAGCAGAAGATGAAGGTGCATATCGATGTGTAGCAACAAATAAGTATGGTTCATCAGTTACTACTGGATTTCTTGCCGTTTTAAGTAAGTAATTATTTTGAATTCTTTTAATTAAATTATTCTTTAAATAAAATTCTTTTTCAGGGAGAAAACGATCTCATTCACCATCACCTAGTCGTAATGCTAGTCCTAGTCGATCATTAAGTCCATCAAGTAGTCGCGTGCCAGATCGAAGTGTTTCACCACTACGATACATTAATTTACCTGTATCTAAATTGGCAAGAGTAACGGAAGAGCTTGAAAGTCTTATTAATCCAACAGCGTCAATTGTTCATGAAGAAGAAGAAGAAGAAGATGAAGATGAGGAAGAAAAAGAAAAAGAAGAACAAAAATCAATCGAAAAACCAGAAGAAATACAATCATCTATTCAGCAAGTGCAACCAGCTATCACAAAAATAGTCGAGCCTGAAGAAAGCATTGTTCTTCCTCACGTCTTAATACCAACGCCAATAACAACAGTGGAAGAGGATAAATCGGATGTACTTAAAACTGAAGTGAGTAATTAATTTTAGTTAAAGCCTTCTCTAATTATTGGTTATGCATTAATCGTAGTAATCTAAAGTCACAAATAGATTCTAAAATATTTTTAAGTCGATATTTTCTTTTAGGCTTCATTAAGAAAATCATTATAATGAACTAAAACTAATGATAAACAGTTTGCTAATGTTCATTTATTAATATTGAATAATCGAATTATTCTTTTTATCAGCAACACTGTGCTGGCGTCGATGATTTATGCTCTATTAACAGTGAAAAAAAAGATTCTAGATAATTTGCAAATATGTATTAGGTAACAGATAAATATAAGGAAGCACAACAGTATCCGACCTTGATTAGATAACTCAATGAATCATAGGCAATTCCAATAATAATGTTCATAACTATTTCCAGATAGAACGTTGCCTACTAAAATCAGATTCAAGACTATGTTCGAAGAATGTTAAATAAATTTAAAAGAAAAACCAAAAGATGTTAATTTTCAATTTAAAATACAACATTTATGACTATTATGCGTAGACTCTATTACAAAAAAAAAGAACTAAATGATGCTTGACTTATTCAGATTATTTTTTTTTCTTGTGTATGAGTAATAATTGCATGATGAATTACATAATCTATCTATATGACAGCATTGACAAAAAAATTTCTTTGCAATCTTTGCCATAATCAATGTAGCGATTTTTATTTAGTAATAATACTTAAAACCTTGTATTTGCTACCATACAAGTTCTTCTCTTCATATTCTTCTCAAATAAGTGTTTACTTGGAAAGATTCTCTCTCTTTCTTCCATTCCGGCACCTTTACAGAATATCTCATTAGAAAATTTTGAAATTTTCTGGATAGATAGGTTTCGATGAGTAAAGCAAAAGTTGTCGTAGATTCGAAATTCTCAACTGCTTCCTTCCATGAGATATTGGTGTCGCAAAGGTTAAAAGTCACTCTACTTTCTCGACTGAAACACATATGCTGGAGTTGGAATTGTTTTTAAAGATGCTAGATATATTCTTTGTCTTGCCTAACTAGCTCCTTCCATTCGTATAAAAAGATTAAAATATTGAGCATATCATCATCAAATGTATGTTTTCTGGTGTTGTTTTTAACGGAAGTTTTTTTTTTTGTTGTAAACATTGACAAAAACCAATTGTACATTATATTTTGACAAAATAAAAACATAGTAGACAGTCTGAACACTTTCTAGTATAAAGAGAAGAAATTTTTAGTTCGATCAGATGCACTGTGGCTGAGAAATAAGGGTTATTCTCCACTTTTCCTGTAAAAAACTTAATTTTTTCAAAAACATGGAATTAATAAATTTTGACATTTTTCAGTAAAAATGCTTCATCTTATCTGGTTTTTCAATTTTTATAGTTATATATCAATTTTTGAAACATGTCTAGTAGATAGAGGATACTTCAAAGTGTATATAGCGCAGAAAAAGAAACAAACAAAATAAAAAATCTCAAAATTTTTGATCAAGAAGATGTAGTAGCTAAATGACGAAAATCCAAATCCTTTTAGTAACATATTTTGCTCCCATCTTCACTGTTTTGTTGAGTATATGCATATCGTATTATAATGTATTGATCAAAACGTGGACAATACTTTTCATCAAGGATTTATAATCTTTCGACATAAAAACAGTTTTACCATCGAGACAAAAGAGAATTCCATTAAGATTCTCACTCCAAGATATTTGTTTGTGTTTTCCAGCTGATGCTTTGAAAACCGACTGTTCTAAAAATGGATATAAAATCCATAAAAAAAAACAAAAAGCTCTATAAACCATTACAACACAAATATATTCCTTAATTAAATAATATTGTTTATCTATAAATAATATTTCCATTTCCACTAATCTATTTTCATCTATACATAAAAGCAAAAGAGTTATAAATAGTAAACAAGCACCTGCTGTTCTTAGAATGAAAGAACATTTTTATTCGTCAAATATATGGCTATTATTTAACTTCAAAGCGCATCTTAATAGTACCATATAAAATATATTACTAGAAAATTTCCAAAAAAAAAGCAGTCGGATGCAATCTTGAAATTGATCTAAGACAAAAGGATCTTTTTTTTCTTGCACAAAACAGATTAGTTCTTTGTATTTATTGTATCTAGGATTGACAAATTTTTCAGTCTTACCTTCAGATTTCTTTCAATATTTCTTATTATCAATTGGTACACTTACTATGCTAGAAATAAAGTGTAAATACACAAATGTATAGATATATACGTCATATGGGCATCTATACGATTGATTTGATGGCTGTTGTTTTTTTTATCGTGTTTTCTGATGAGGGTGATTAATTGCAGATGGAGATGTCAAAAAAAAAGAGAGAAAAAACGCAGACAAATATTTTAAGTAAATAAAAACAAAAGATGGTGCATCTTCTATTGCTTTCATTCTGGTTGTCAGTACTAGTGACATATCCACCTCCTTCATTATTATGTATATTGCAGGCTTTTATTTGCCAACAGAACAAGATGTAATAGCACTGCAACTATAAATGATACGATAGGCTATCTTTGTGGCAGCTCAAAGGCAATCGTCCTTTGTTATGCTATTTTCTAGACACCTATATATACACTGAATATGTATTGTCATTTGTTGCATCATATTGTATAAAAATCATTCGAAGAAAAACTAACATGAAAAAGAATTTTATTTAAATAATGGAAGATTCAATTTTTTTACGTTCAAAGCAAATTGCTAATTCTAGTCCATTGAAAAAGTCCTTGAATACTGAACTCGTGAGACCAACAAAAAATTAATATTTTGTTTCTATCGACTATTTTATTCTTTGAAAACAGGAACAAGAAAAACCAACTATTGTTACTAAATTACCATCCATCATACGCATAAATGAAGGAGAAGATCTTGATGTCAGCTGTTCGATCACAGGTATGATGATTTTTATTTGTGAATATTTCTTCTCATTTATTATATGAATGTCTTTTTTTGTTTTTGCTTAAAGGCAATCCTGAACCGGTGATACATTGGACTAAAGATAATGTCGATATTCGAGAAGACCATCGTGTTGATATATATTCCGATCGTGGGGTACATCATTTAGAAATTAGTGAAATTTTAATGGCTGATCAAGGTCTTTATAAAATTTATGCAGAAAATTCATTAGGCAAAATAGATGCAGAATGTCGAATTGAAGTCATTGAAAATACCGATAAAATTAAACGGTTAAGAGTTGAAGGTCTACTTGCTTATGGTGCACGGTAATTCCCGATTTTGTTTTTATTTAAGAAAAAATTCGTGATTGTTATTTTGTTTTCTTAGTCAACCAACATATAAAGCACCCGAATTTCTTATAAAACCATCAAATCGTACAGTTCATGAAGGTGAACAATTTCAAATATTTGCTAAAGTGATCGGTAAATAAATTTATGAAGAAATCTTTTTCGAATTTCTCATTTAATTATTTAATAAAAACAAAAGGTAATCCTGCTCCACAAGTTGTCTGGATTCGTTTGGGTAAACCATTAGAAGATGATGGTTATCATCAAATATATGATCGTAATGGTGAAAATTACTTTGAAATACCAAAAATATCTATTTTGGATGCTGGAGAATATTCGTGCATTGCTACAAATATGATGGGAGCTGTTTATAGTACATTTACCGTATGCGTTGAAGGTAAGACAACGTCTCATAATCAAAGAAGAATAAAACATATAACTAATGATGTTTTTTTTTTCTATACTTTTAGCAATGACTGAACCAGAATCAACTAGTTCCGAAATGGAAGAACGTTCGGCTAATGTGTCTGATATTGATACAAATGCTGTATGTTGTTACAAAATACTATTGATAATAAATCTTGAGATTTGTAGTGACACAACTAGATCCTGATACCTCATAAACATGATGATAGATACGTCTGCTTGTCACAGTTGACAATGAATAAAAAGAGCTATGATGTTTATCACCATCTTTTCTCTTGTGTACTTTAACTTATTGCGATTGAGACTTTGTTTCTATTATGAGACGCTGACTGACAACTCATAATAACCTAAAAAATAACAAACATATTATTAGAACTGTGTTTACAGTAGCAGCAGCTTCGTTATATTTTTGCATTTTTGTTCTACAGAAACATTCTTGAAAGGTCTCATTTAATAACAAGAGTTGTTCATATTATTTCTTCTAATTGATATACTAAATGTCATTTCTTAGCATTGAAAATTCAATCAGTAAACAAAAAGTAATATTCAAAACATTGAAAAATAATTTAAAATCAATATTAAATCGAACTAATCTAAATCAACTGATGTAACAGACAAAAGTTCTTAGATCAAACTATAAAGATTATAGACTAGAATTATTTCGACTTGCACAATCCGATTCCATGCCGTTGCAATCTTATTCAATATGATGAGAATTTTTAAATTCTCTCTACTGATAAAGTGCAAAAAAACATTTAATGTGACATTTACATCTAGTTAACCAATAAAAATTGTGGTTTACTAGACGAAAAATTAGGAATCTTTTTCTATCTCGTATTTTCATTATCGATTTTTTTTTTCTTAAAAAAAAAAGTACAGTACCTAAGTGACTTAACCTATTCAATGCACATTTTAAGTAATGTTTCCATATATTAATTCAATACCAAGTACGTTTTTTAATATTAGATTGAAGATTTTCCCCAATCGATTGCCACACAACTTATTGATAAGCATGTTCAACAACATCGTCAGTCAAAACTATCTGATCAATCTGATATAGTAAATATTATTTATCAATAAAATTTGTATTAATTTTTCTTTTTTTAATTAATTTTTAATCTAGGAATATTTCTTATCAAACTTTATCTTAAAAGATGATTTTCGTGATGAAGCTCGAGATGTATCTATGAATAAAGGTGATATTGTTGAAATAGTTGATATTGATAAGAAAGATAAATGGCTCGTTAGAAACAAGAAGAATTTAAATCAGGTTTGATTTATTAAATTCATTACCTTTTTTTGTTTTTTGTTCGAAATAAAAATGTCGTTTTTTTTTTTGAGAATTTTTGAAACACCAAAAAGAGACACAAATGCTCTTTATTTCGATGAGTTTTCTTTCGAATAATAATGATAAAATAACATTTTTATTCAATCGACAAAACTAGTGTTATTGGTGTACTTAGGTTTTTGCATAACACCAGAGAGATAATGATTCGAAGTGGTTCCAGTATAATAAGAATCAGGAAAAAAAGCATGTTCCCTATAGAGACTTGTAAAAGGCAATAAAATGGAAGACATTCTTCTTAGATTTGTTATCATACAAAAATATTTTACGGTTATTTATGCAATTCTAAGTCTTTCTTTGCGTTAAGGAAATTCTTCTCGGTACCAGAAAATGTATCGATTTGTTACGATAGATTCAAAATTAATCAAGATTTATAAACTTAATAAATTATAATACTAATAAAAAGTGCCAATTTTTTTTTGTCTATGAATTATTCAAATTGATATAATACTTTTGTTTGACCACATTTTATTTATATAGATTTGTTATGTGCCGCCTGATTATCTCGAAATGATTCCAGATACAGATATTAGCCTGATCAACAATGATTCAACTAATATCGATAGCAATCAACAAAGTAAGTAAATATAATACGAAATTCAAGATCTAGAAAATGAATTTGATACTTTGAAAAGTTTCCACCATGCATTTTATAGTTTCTATACAAATCAAATCTTTATTTTTTCCCAAAATTTATATCTTCATTTTATAATAATCATAATCAAAATTTCCTTTTAATTTAAAATTTTTTTCAAAACAGATTTTAGCACATATGATTATTATGTCACATAAATTGTTTTTTGTATTCTTTTCTTGTTATCTTGCTATTTTTTGTTGATAACAGAACAAACGGAAGAATTGAGATTTTTTTTCCATAATTATTATGTTATTCTGTCTATTCAATTATTTTCTATTTAGTATGAGTTGAATAGTTTATTCTATTGCTTTATAGATTATCTTTCAAATAATCTTCTGTTTCTTCTCCAGCATAGTTATATTGACAGTAAAAGGAGAATCTTTTTAGTCTAGAGAAATATTCATGGATAAGAGTAAACGAAGAAATTCCTGCAATGTTTCTTTACTCATATACATATCTTGACACCATGATAAATAGAAAATTGCAGCGAAAACAAAACCCTATGCCTACGTATGTATACATGCGTATCTTGACCCACCCACTCGTTCTTATCATTAGGGAAAAGAAAAATGCTCATCATAGATAGATACATACAGAAAAGAAGAAGAAAAGAAGATATATTATTGCCTCTGTTTTGTCTTCTCTAACTCTCAGTTAACCTCAATATCCACATTGCTAGCATATATCGTAGTGGTCGTTGTTGTCGTTTTCCCAATAAACCCATTACAATCATTGATGTGCATGAAGAGAAAAAGAGAAATTAGTCATTGGTCTCGCTTTAGCTTCCCATCCTCTTATAAATCGAATGTATGTATGTATGTATGTATGTATGTATGTAACATAAGAAGAAAAAAGAAAAGAGGAAATATACGATACCAAAAGAAAATGGGTGCCGATATCTAACGTTTGTTTCTTTCTATTTTCTCTGTATGCTCTTCATCAAGTAGAGAAACAGGAAACAGAAACAGTTTCTAATTCCTATAAATTGATGAATATCTTATTGTTGTTTCATTGGTGCTGTTCGTCGAACTTCTAGTCGGCGTTGTCTTCAGTAATTGACTACGCGTGTTGTTAGCGTTTTTATCTGTTTGACGAGAGACGAAAAACAAGAAGAAAAAAAGCCACAGTATATATCTGTCTTCAACTGTCTCTATCGTCTTCTTCTTGATCGATCAACTTTTTTTTTCTTTTTTTCTGTTCCGTTTACGGATAAGCAGATAACAAAAGGGTAAGTTCCTATCAATGCTATCCGAATAGTAAATAGATATTATTTCATACTGAAAAATCAGAACATTATTTAACCATTATATTGTTTTTTTGTGTTTTTTTATTTCAATTATAATTCATTAATGAAAAAACAAACAAAAAGAAAATGAATATTACATTTAAATATACACAATAGAAGATTGATCATAGAGAGAGAATATGTATTTATTACGCCTACGATAATAACAAAGAGTATGAAGTACACACAGAGAAACAAGGAATACATAAATAGCTAGATGGAGATGCTTCTGTTTCATATGTTAAGAGCAACTATCAGTGTCAAGAATACATACTGCACACTCAAATACTGACACAAAACGCATAGTTTTCTTATTGTATTACTTTTCGTCAAGAATTGGTTGTTTTATAGAAATATTGATACCAGAAATAGGCGTAACAAACAGGTAATTGCAGTAAATTTCAAGAAAAACTAATATTCTTTGTTTAAGATGCAACTAATAGATCTTTTGCTTTAATATTAGTATAGTTAGAAGCATAATGAGATGACTGTTGTTCTTCTATTATATATAAAGAAGAGTTAATTGCTAAAACAGTTCTTATTCGATGAAGAAATTAATGGAAAGTAATTGAAGTATATAGTGATACTTTTTTTCTTAGATAACTTTCATATTGTAAAGATTAATTGAATATTTCATTTCTTATAAGATAATACAAACAGAAGCATGACAGTATTAACTAGTACGACATTAGATTGAAAATTCCTCCTACACAAAGGTCCCATAAGTGCAAACTGTATGATTCATATAAACAAAATGTTTATTTTAGCACATGAAAGCTTTGTTAAGAATATTCTAGAATAGTAAGATTTATCGTATTGAAAACCATTAAGTAACATATCTTGACATCTAAAAGTCAATGAAAATCAACTATTATATAATCAGGATATAATCTTTTATACAGTGAACTATAGAAGTGTCGAACAAGGTAACTCCATATTACAAACACAAATGATTGATTGATATCTGTTCTTTTATGACTAGTAGTCTAAGCATGAGAAATGCTACCGTCTAGTTTTCAAGGTCGAGTCATCTTATATCGTAAGAATTTTAATCAAACAGTAATTATGTAAAGAATGATAAATATTAATGTAATTGTTCTACTCAATTATTTGAGATAATTCGTGAGATCTTTTGTTCACGTCTAGTAGACAAGTTATCATAAAAAATCTTACGTAAAACTTCTGTATAAAAGTACTCCTGGTAAGTATTAGGATAATTTTATGAGAGAGAAATTGTAATGTATTTTAAATTATCTATGTTGTATACACAATTGATGATGAAAAAGTTCAGATAAATAGTCTTAATGATGACTTCGATATTTATTATTTTTTTCTTGTTTTTCCAAAACATATTTAACATTTGACCTGAAATCCAAAAAAAATATTCTTTGATATTTTTTTTAAACACAAACAAACATATTCTCACGTTGATATTACCGATATGAAGAAGAATTTTTTAACAGTCTATAATTTGTATTTTGGGGTACTAAACTATTTTTAGTACAGTTGACATGGCAAAAGAGAAAAAAGAACTAAAAAAAACTTTTTCTCCTTTGCTATGAATTTTACCAAAAACCAAGAAAAGGAGAAAAAAAAACACTTTGTTTTAGTGATTATTATGATAAACCTCGTTCGCTAAGCCTACGTATCATCTTTTGATATTTAGCTTCTACCTACAATCTTAGATTTTAAGAAAACACTTCAAATCAAAACGGAAAATATTGTAAAGCAGACTTTTTGAATAGCTGAGTTTTTTTTATTTAAAAAAATAGAAAAAAAATCTCAGCTTATTTCGTCCTTGTGATAAAGTCAGTTTTAATCAGAGTTCATTTCTTGCCTGTACATTCGTTAAGTCTTGTCGAGAATGCAAAGTCTTATAAAACGTAACTACTGAACATGATAATAATAAATAGTGTATTGCAACTGATTGGAATTAATTGAGTCATTTTTGTCAAGATGATTACATTTATATCTAAAATAAATAAAATAAAAATATTTTTTTTACATAAGACTTAATTTCAATCATTCGTCAGCATGTTAACCATTTAGACTTACGCTAGTTGTATTTTTCATCGATTTCTTCTTTAAAATAATGCCACATCTTCCTTGAGAGAAGAATCTATATCTAAACGTGTATAACAGAAGTTAACCTATATTTTGATAAATGATTATCTATTGTCCAACAGAAAGCGTGTGGGTGTATAAGAAATGAGTTTCGTAAGTTATAATGCCTATCGGGTGTTACTCCAAGGTGATGACTTGTTGACAATGATTGAGAGTTATTACGAGATATTTAATATATGACCAGGATAATGGTTTTTTTCCTGTCTACACGTTAATACAAATTACTTATTTCAATTTGCCTATTTAAAAAGAACATGTTTTAAATTGAGTACAGCAAATATCTAATCGATGTTTTCATCAAACGAAGAAAAAGAGACATTTTAGTAAAACTTCTACTAACTGTGATAAAGCGCGTATAGATTGAAAAAAGATTAAAAAAATCTTAAGTTTTATTTTTATCATATAGGATCCTGATTCATCATCTTGTACTATTCAATTTGAATATATTCTCTAATGAATGTACTGAACTCAAGATAAGCGTGTACAATTTTCTCAGTACATGAATACTTACCAGATATCTGTTCAGCTTTGATAGTATTCTATGAAAAATTTTTCAATAAGTTAGTAGATTAAAGATTTAGAATTTTGTAGTCAAGTGCTAAGAACCCATAAAGTAACCAAAAGTTTGTATTACATACTTATCGCAGGGCACCCGCACGGCGGATACCCTAAATTCAGTATAGTCACTAAGATTCCACGTCTATGTTATAGCAATATCTACCGATAGCACGAATATTGATGGAAAGAATTGTTCACTTTTAATATTTTGTTTTTATAATATTTTTCTTTCGAAGATATGTTTAAATTTTCTTGACAAAAAAAAAAGTTAATTTTTTTTCGACTATTGGGAAATTCTATCAACATTTATACTTTTATTTTAGTTGTTTCAAGCAAGCGAACATTTACGAAAAAGTCCGGTGCAGTGACTAGCAATATCGACAAACGATATAATCCAATTAATCAAGAAGAACAAGATTCATCGTCAAGTAGTGATGATTTAAAAACAATGACTGAGGTTTGTTGCGAAAATATTCTATATATAGCAACATATCATCGTGTAAATATAAACAAGAAATTGAATAGTAGAGTAGGCGGATAACGATAATATTTCCTATCTTGTCGTGTCAGTTGTCGGTTACGATTAAGAAGAAAAAAACGGAGGAAAAAAGAAAGATAACAAGCAAGAATTTCTATAGTTGACAATTAACTGATGTGTTGATATATATGATAGTGTGTTATCAAAAGCACAGTTACCCTACATATGGTAAAAATCTATGCAATAATTCATTCGAATACTCTACTATTAATGAGTTTCGTATAGGCATTATCTTCACTGAATGATATAACTAACATAAAAAAAAAAGAAATTTTTAATATCGAAATTAAAAAAAATTCAAAATCAAATAAAATGAATTTTTTTTGTAGGAAGCTGAAGTATTTTTTGCTAATTCTGATTATGTCCCAACACGTCCCGATGGGATTGCACTTGCTGAAAATCAACTTGTCGATGTGCTCGATTCACATGATCCCGTACAATATCTTGTTCGCACTCGACCACGTAAAGATGAACGACCGAAAATTGGTTGGGTTGATGCATGTTTTCTTGAAAAGAAGTCAACCAATATAGGACAGGTTCGTAAATTAATTGTCTCATTCTATTTTTCTATTACTCACTCATATCACTACTGCCATGGTTACTGTTGGTATTATTGTTGCTGTTGTTGTCGATGCTGCTATTATACCCATATTCTTTCTATGCGTTAATAACAAAATGATATCCATTGAGTCGAAAAAAGATTACTATGGACACTAAGCAAATCTTTTACTTGTCGGTATTTAGCGCGCAATATATATATATACATATATAATATGGTACGTGTGCATCAGGAAATAATGGATCAATAGCCCCTCGTTGATGTATGTTTCATCACGTATTTATCTTTCTCCTTCGTTTCGATTAGATGATAAACAAGTGGTGGAGATAGCATAGAAAGCGAGAAGGGAACATGACATTTTCTGTAGGCATTCACTAAGTAAGGCAACGTACGAAAGATCTTTTTTTCTCCTAACTGTACACAACGTCTATAATATAACCAACCTGCTCTCTATCTATGGACAAGCAATAGAGAAAGATAGAAAGAAACCATATTAACAGCAATAGAAAACAGAGAAAAGAAATAAAAGCAATGAAGCAACGGCCGATGATGTGACAAAGATGTTGGTAGAGGATGATTCGCCTGCTGTCGTTGTTGATGTTGTTATTCTTATACCTGATATAGCTTTCTCTCTTGCTTTTCTTGCGCTTCTTCTTTTCATAAGAATTTCCTGTCTGAAACATATATACGCGTTTGATTATTCCTATCGTCATTTTGAGGTTGCGTAAGGAAGAAGCATTTGTATTAGTCGACAAGAGAAAAGGGGGTGGTTAGTACTGATATAAGACTGTTGTCTTCATCGTCTGCATTTTAGTTGTTGTTGTCGTACAAAGATAAAACAGTTAAGTTAAAGACAACAAAAAAAAAAAGAAGAGAAACAAAAATAGAAAAACAGTCCATATTCGGAAGTTTTTTTCGCCTCGTAATCTATATTAATGTCGTTGCCAACATGGAATCCAACTAACTTATCATCATTCATATTCGACCGAAATCGATATCGGCGTAGTGCAAGTGACCAAACACGTACGGTAACAACGCATGAATATCATAGTTACCGACGAACAGAATCACCTTGTCCACATCATAGTTATTGTGAATATTGTCCTTGCATAAATTGTCGTCGTTATCGTCAACCATCCTATCGACATCATATGAGTCGGCGTCAAGCATCTAGTTTTTCACCAGTTGGGCGTAAAGAATTTTATTCTAGCGCTCACTCTATACGAGATGAAATACGGCGGGGTAGTCCAACCGGTATCGGAATCTCACTACATTCATTTCGTTCGCATTCACCACAAACGGAATATCAGCAGCGACAGCAGCGACATCGACAACAACACCAACAACAGTATCAACAACAACAGCAAACATATCAGCCTCATCATTTTCATGATTATAATGAATATGAACGGCAACGACAAGGACGTTTGTTGCAGATCAATCGGCGCAGCACACGTGAAGTTCAACCAAGTGATCAAACTGTACCAAGTGCCTCTAGCACTAGTCGTTATGACGAGGCTGTCATCAAGCGAAGGTAATTATTATCGAATTTGTTCGCAAAATTTCCTATCAGTTAGAATGTATTGATTCAATCAGCAGGGAATGCTAGTATTTCTCAAAGAGATAAAAACAAATAATAAATACTACACAATTTTCATTTAGTTTATTATGAACGAAAAAAAAAGAATATTTTGCACTCTTGAATACTATCGATAAATCTACAACAGTTGTTTTGCAACATAATGATAGAAGATGAATCAATATCTATCTTTATCCATCCTTTTTTTTAGCTTGATAGATTAGCAGTGTTGTTGTTAAGCTATATTACATAATCAATTTCTATATTTGTCTTGATTTGTTAATCAAGGTCATGCCTGAAAATCCTAGATAAACTGAATGAATCTAAATATTGTAATAATAGCCGGTAGTAGCAATACAAAACAAAAAAAACATGTTGAAAGAAGACTCTATTAGGAAAGAAAAATTCTCTCATATAAATATTCTGCAAAGTAAAACTATCCTTGAAACATTTGTTCTTCATCATTTATATCCGAATGTCTTCAAACAAATTTATCTTTTTCGACTAGAGGCAGAAAAGAAAACATAACAACATTCTTGTTGCAAATGGAAAAACAACTTAGTATTTTATGTAATCACAAATGATAGTGGAACTACTATTTTTCTTTTAATTAAGTAATAAAATAAACATGTCTGTTTTATGCTTATTCTCGAAAAAGAATATTCTAAGTTATGATACGATAAGACTGATAATTATAAATGATTTTATACTTAAAAACTAATATTAATATATTGTCTATGAAATATCTACTGAAAGCATATCTTTATTACTTGAAAGTATAGGATAAGAATGTTAATTTGATAAGGAAAATTGATCATCTATCTTTTAAGAAATGATAGATGTGACATAAGATGTCTAATGTTTATTTTTATTAATCATCAGATATGCCTTCGCTGACGTCCTCGAGAGCGAACGCTCATATGTTGCTGATCTTCAACGTATTATTGAAATTTATCTATATGAATTAACTCGTCAAGAATGCCCGTGGTTCGTCAAAGAAAAGAAAGATCTTTTATTTAGCAACATCGAAGACATATTCGCATTCCATAAAGTGTATGTATTAAACATAACAAAAACAAAAATAAATAAATAAATGAAATTTTTTTGTTGTTATTTGTTTTTTTTTTTTTAAAGATTATTCTTGAATGACTTAACTAATGCTATTGAAAATGATCCAAAGGAATTGGCTTATGTATTTTTACGCCGACGAGATCAATTTTTAAATCTTTACTCTCAGTATATGTATGATCGTGCACGATCTGAACATGTACTACAAACAAATCCAAATATTCAACGTTATTTTGATGAATTAAATCAACGATTAGGTTTACAAACAAGTGATTTAACACTTAATAATTTACTTAATCGACCTATACAACGACTTGAAAAATATAAACATATTTTACAAGTAAAATTAAATGAGAAAAAGATTTTTTTTTTATTTTTTAAATATTTGTGTCATTCTAGGAAATGATTAAGTATACAAATCGTATGCGGGAAGATAGTACAATATTTCAACAAGCTTATACAATGATAAGCAATGTCATAAATGATGCACGACAACGCGATGCAACTGAACTTATTGATAACTTACCATTTACAAATGAACAATTAGGAGATTTGAAACGTCATGATGTTGTATTAATTAAAACAACAGATCATGATCTTGATTCAGTCAATGAAACTGGTACACGTTTACGTGAAAGATTTTTATATTTATATCGTAATAAAATTATTCTATGTCGACGTAAACGTGCTGATGGTCGATTAGAATCAAAATCATTAGCTTTTAAACAAGCACATAATGTAAATAGAATAATTTGGATTTTTTTTTTGAAAGAAGTTTTTTTTTTTTAATTTTTTTTTAGACCAATGAAATAACTTTTATTCAAGAAAATTTTCCTGATGATGATAAAAAGTTTGAAATAACATTTAATGATAACGAGCGTGTTACATTTTATGCTCGAAATGCTTTTTCGAAAATGTCTTTAGTTCGTGCATTGAGAGATAATCTTAAATCTCTTGGTAAGTTTAGTATTTTATATTTTAAAATTTAGTTCAAAATTTTTATTCTTATCGAAAACAGAAAAATCTTCTGGTCTTTCTTCTACAGGTTGACTAGCTTTCAGTTTAAAGTTGAGATCATAAGAATGAAAGACCTATTTGAACAGATACAATATTTCGGACTCAAATCCAGGACTAGGTCGAGAGGTTCTACCAACAACGGAGCCTCATGCTACTCTTAGACCGAGATGATGGTCATTTGATGAGTGCTTAGGAATAATAGAAAAGTCTAAAATGGTTTGATTTTCTGGGCTTTCCTTCTTAAGATATCAAAATTTTACCTCACTTTTCAACAAAAACCTGTGGTCTACCTTAAGTCACGCGAGAATTTCGACTTCAAATTTTGTACAAGCAAAGTTCTTAACGATATTACTTCATTGTACAAGTTTTAGTTTTTTTTTTTTTTCGTTTTGGAGATGGCCGTAAATATTTGAACGAAATTTGCTCTTTTACATGAGAGAATTTCAAATATTCAATATTTTGGGGTAGAAGATACTTGAAATGTTACAAGTTGTCTAATGTACTAATTTTGTGCAAAATTTGACGTCAAAACTCAAAAATTGATTTTTCATGTGATTTTATGAGACCACAGCTTTCTATTAAGGACTCAGTAAAATTTCAATATCTCAACAACGAAGACCCGGAAAATCAAACTATTGTAAACTTTTCTATCATTCACTAAGTAGTATTCATCAAATGAGCATCATCTCGATTGAAAAGCGATTTAACAACTGGAACGATTTTCTCGTGAGTTGTCCGAAAAATGTTGTTCTGTTTTGGTAACTGCATTTCAGTAATAGAACAAAAGTTTTTTTAACCCGTACTTGTCTTTCTTAAAAGTAAAACAAAAAGTTGTTAGAACAGATGAGTTAAGATCAGAAAATGTTCTCAACAATTCGTCAGATCTCAACTTGTTGATTTTAATTTTTTTTCTTATTAAATTTGATATATTGAAAATAGGTTTTTTATAAAAATTATTTTTTCGAATAGGTTTTGTCGAAGAAATTGAAATGATTGAAACAACTGAAACTGAAGATGATACACGACAAAAACGTTCGACACCAAAAAAACGTTCAATTGACGTTATAGAGTCAACTGTAAGTTTCAATTAATAAGTTTTATTCTTTTGATAACTAATAAAAAAATTTTATTAAAGATATCGGAACAGCAAAAACGTGGTCGTTCATCAGGACAAACAACATCTGGTACATCAGATTTTTATTCAGTTGGAAGTGAAACAGAATCAAGTTATCAAACAGCTGGAGAAAATGAAGATTTTAAACCAAAATTTTTGAAAAAATTAAATGATACCTTAGCAACAGGTCTGATTTATTCAAAAATACTGACGTAATCAGAAAGAAAAAACTTGTACGGGAGGAGGCTAAATCCTTCCCTAGCTTTCATCTGGTTACGTCACTATTAAAAAGAGAACTTCAAATTAAAATTTATTTATTTTCATTATTTTTAGAGGGTGATTTTGTCACATTAGAATGTATTGTTGTTAGTACAACACCAGTACATGCTACATGGTTCAAAAATAATATTCCTTTACAAGATAATGCTGATTGTAGATTAATTCAAGAAGATAAACGTTTTGAATTAGTCATAAAAGTATGTTAAATAAATTCTAATTAATACAAAATATTGAAAAAAATCTATTTTTTTTTGTTCCATTTTAGGAAGCTTTTGTCGAAGATGGAGGAGTTTATTCAATTAAAATTTCTAATCATGCCGGAACAGTTATTTGTAGTTGTAAATTATTTGTACGAGAAGGTAATAAATAAATATTGTTTAAAACATTGAATATATATTTTATTTTATTTAAATTAGAAATGAGTGATGAACGAACAATACGAGACGATTTAGTTATTCGAGAAGGTTCATCACCTGAAGCCAAAAAAGGTCTGATAAAATATTAATTTTAACATTATTATTATTTTTATTTTTTAATTTAAAGATGGTACTGATAATGAAGAAGAATTACGTATAACAGAAATGGCATATGATCAAGCTGGTGCATATAAAGTCACACCACATATTGGTCGAGCACCAATTTTTCTTCAATCACTTATGCCAATCATTTCTAAAGCTGGTGATATTGTTACATTAAAATGTACTGTTACAGCAACGCCTATGCCATCTGCTATTTGGTTAATATCAATATAGATTTTAAATATTTAAAAATTAATTTTTGTATTTTTCTTTTGAAATAATTTTAGGTATAAAAATGGTCAAGAAATTCAACAAGGTGGTCGTTATTCAATATTTAATGATCAAAATGGAACATATTCATTAGTTATTTCGGATACTTTACCACAAGATTCAGGTTCATATGAAATTACTATAAGAAATCAATATGGTACAGCAAATTCAAAAACAAATTTACAAATTCTTGGTTTGTTATTTTTTATTTTTCTATTTTTTCTTAAATGAATTTTTGTATAGAACGTGAAAGTGTTTTTATTCCAATTCCAATAACTCGAGTATCAACAGAAGAAAATGCAACAGCTAAATTATCATGTGCAGTTAAACGTCCCGATGTATATGTTGATTGGTATAAAGGTGAACAAGCATTATTTACTGAAAAACAAGAAGAAAATCATAAATATAAACGTGTTGATGATGGTTTACAAAGAGAATTAATTGTTAAAAATGTATCAACAGATGATCAAGGAGATTATGTTTGTCAAGCAGACAAATATCGAGTTACACTTCATCTTAATGTTCAAGGTTAGTATCTAAAAGAAAAATAAAGAATAGATTGAAAGTATCTAGACAATATATATTTGACTAGTATATTTTTTGTCAAATGTCATATAAATGAGAGCTATTCATTATTAGTTTATATTTTTATTCATCCTAATTCTCGTAATCCGTAGCAGAAAAATTCACACTGCAATTATTGTTTATATAGAAAATTCTCCTAATGATAATGATTATTTCTTATTGCAAAAGTACTGAGATTATAGGTCATGAACTTTTAACATCGTTAGTTTTCAATCATTTTACTTGAAGAAAAAAAAGTACTGATAGATACAGGAAAATTGGTTTTTGGCTTTTCTCGAAATAAATTTTTACACCAAAAAACGACAGAAACTAGATACTACAAACAGTGTATGGTAGCTGTAAAAAAAAAAGTTCTAGTTCTATCGAGCTTATTTAGGATGAGAAAGTGGATAATTTTTGTTACCCAAATATTTCACAGATGGAATTATTTTGAAACTTTAAGTCTTTGACAGACTTTGTTCTACTCACTGACATCTATTTACCTCGAGAGCTTCAAATATTTCTGATGAGATATTCTTCAGAAACTCTGAAAAGAAAAAATTTCCTTAAATATATTGGGAAAGAATGAGAATTAGTATATTAGAATTAAAAGTTTGTATTCTTTCAGGACTCAAAATTTTCCGAGGACAAGTTTGCTTTCTGCAGATATCAAATAAATTCTATAAAATATATAATACTTATAGATGATCACTATTTTATAAAATAATGCAAGAATGAAGAATTTCATTTAATCAACTGAAATAATGGTAGAGTTATGACGGAAAGTTATTTCGTGCTTAAAAGACAAAAAAAAAACGATTTTCTTTTGATAAACTTTATAAAAGCCTTCACTGATATTCGATAAAATTTTGTGATATGTCTTGTTACTATCTTCTTCTTTACTTCGCCTTCTTCTTATTATTATATTTTTACAAGAAACCAATCCCCTTCTTTAAACATTAACACTCACTTAAATAGAATAGATACGAGAAGAAGAATGGAATGATTGTAAACGTGATAGAATGAATCCGACAGAAGAAGAGAGAACATACTTATGACAGGACAGATATGTCCTGACATAACACTTCCCCCACCGACAGAAAACACACCCAGAGAGAACGAAATGGAGAACGAAAGGAAAAAACTCAGTAAAAAGTTACAAACCAAGTGAAAAGATAAAACAAAGAATAATGTAAGAAACGATTAAATGAATTTGAAAGTGACGCAAATTGAAATTCAGCACATATAAGATAGAAAAATTTAAGAATACCAATATGCATAAGTGGAAAAAATATAATGATAAATTTAACATTTAAAAATATATCAGAAAAAAAACGAAGAAAGAGGCTAGCAGCGACTGGTGGTCTCAACCGTACCAACCATAAAGCGGACTGAACATGCACGTTCATCTCAAATAACGAGTTTCATCGGCATAAAATACTATGGAACAGCTAAGCGCCGGAACCAGTCGCGATCTTCTGTGTCATACGGCATAACATCGTGGTAGAAATATGAACCTGCTGTATCACCAGTAAAGATTCTAGGACAAGTGTTTATAATAGGACGTAATTTACGAAGAAACAGAAGAAATGAGATAATGTCATTGTAAATTACATGTAATTTTAATAGATTACCAAATGCTTCAATATTGTAACTAGCAAAAATATATTTATCGTTCATAACAGACGATGATAAGACATTGATACAATTCAATAAATTTTCTTGAGAAAATGTATCATTAATATTTGAAGTTGAGTTAACGGGTACGTCTGGTTGCTCGGATCGAATAAATTGACATCGCTGCGGCAATTGATCATGAATGAACCATGTTTCGCATCCATCAGGCCAAATCATCTCACAATTGTTTTCATCACTTTCCACAATGCACGTATTGAGTAAGACAATATTATTTAGTTCAACTAATTTAATGTTGGGATAATCTAAATGTACTTCTTTTTCTTCCAATAATTCACAATTTTGTTCCTCTTTAATACCATTATCATAATATACCATCGTTTCGTCTAACCCATACACACACTCGTGTACTTGAGACGTAGCATCTTCCTTCAGTAATGTTGGCGCAAACTCTTTTTTGAATTCCTGAATAAATGTTGGCCATGAATCCAATACGAACAAATTTCCGAACAGCCATATTCTGGCATCACCTGTTACATACTCTGATATAATAAATGTTTTGCGATCATCAGTAAATTCAGCATAATTCAATCCATCTGTAATGTCTTTCAGCCACTGAACGGCATCTTCGTTTTGATCGCCGCTGAATGCTGGTAATGCTTTCAAATGCTTGAATAACATAACTAGCAATTAACCTTTTAGCGATCTTCTTTGTTCAATTTGAAAACACTTAATCTATTTGATGCTTCATAAATTATATGGCGAATCAAAACCCCGGCTTGTGCACCATTTGTTACAATCTTCTTCTTTACTTCGCCTTCTTCTTATTATTATATTTTTACAAGAAACCAATCCCCTTCTTTAAACATTAACACTCACTTAAATAGAATAGATACGAGAAGAAGAATGGAATGATTGTAAACGTGATAGAATGAATCCGACAGAAGAAGAGAGAACATACTTATGA